TTTTTTACTTCAGAAATACCATGTAAGATTCATGGAGCAAGGTCTTCTAGGCAGTGTTAATATTTTATATTCTATCACATTATATGTAAAGTTGTACCTATGAGTCAAAAACTTAGCAAATGTCTGGTTACTAGATACAGATTTGAAGACACATTAGCATGTTACTGTTGTAGTATTTGTAGCACCAGCAACTTGTTTTGAGCACCTACCTGTGTTAAATACTTTAGAGGTGCCATTTTTTTTTTTTTTTTTATCTCAAGGCAACTTCCTTATACAGTAGTTACCCTTAGCTGTGCTCTCACATTCTGCAGTTTCACTTAGCCGTGATCAACTGTGGTATGAGAATATTCCATTCACTGTTCAGTATTTTAAGAGACAGGTAGGTAGGTAGGTAGAGAAATAGGTGATTGGCTGATAGACAAACAGGTGAATAGACCAAGAACACTTTGATAGGATTTTATTACAGTATATTGTTCAGTTGTTCTCAGGTATGTTTGTACATAGAAACACAAACACAACATTATATATATAGGGTTCAGCATTATCTGCAACTTCAGGTACCTTAGGAGTCTTAGAATGATCCCCCATGGATAAATGGCTATTTTTATCCTCACCTTATAGATGAAAAGATTACAACTTAGGTCTAGAAACTAACCAATGTAACAGCACTTAAACCCAGGTCTAAGTGATTTCAAAACCAAGATTTTTTTTTTAATAAATCAATTTTTTTTTAAGATTTATTTATTTATGCATACAGGCATAAATGGGGCACAGGCCAGAAGTGCAGGGGTGAAAGGATTCACCAGAGACAAAGTGGGGTGCAGAATAGGCAGATGGATGAAGTACACTGCTGAGGGGAGCAGCTGGCAGGTCAGGAGAGGTCTGCCGCGCCATGTGGGTCACCTCTGGGGCAGAGATCAAACTCATGCTGAAGTGGCATTAGCTTCTCAGTGCTATGCTTTAACCTGCTGCACCACCAGGGAGGGCCCCCAAACCAAGATTCTTTAATTAGTTTTCACTTACCCAGCTCACCAGTGTGACAAATACTGTCTGTTCCTTCAGTAAATTCCGGACTGATCTACTGCTCTCCTGAGTATTCCAGTTGGTAATATGTCTACAGGTTCTTCTAGCACCAGTTGAAAATTATATGCTTATAAGAGGTAGAACCTATCAGAAGTACCTATAATAATGTGTTTTGATAAAACACTGACTTATATGAGTATACAAAATGATATGTTTACAAAAATGGGAATTTCAGTAAAGTCTGATCAATCAAGGTACAAACCATAAAACTCCAGAGGAATTTTACTGATTTTTCCCTTGCAAGTATCTTTTTCATCTATTTTAAGACACAGCAATAATTTTATAGATTATATTCTATGGTTCTGGTTTATGTAAAAAAAGAGTGCATGAAACATCAGTTAGCAGACCCATAAGTCAAACCTTTTGAAGAAGTTTTCTATCCATTTGCCCAGGGAGTGCATATTATCAGAGAAAATAAATGGACAAACACTTAAGTGCTCACTGGATACAGGTGCAAGTCTTCAAAGTGAATTGAATGATAATGTTTGGAGATTAATGTTCAAAGGTGAAACTCAACACAACAGGGTTATGCACTAGGGTTTTCAGTTGGGGAAATATGAAAGGGTTCTGTTTCCAATTTTTACTTTTCTGCAAAGCTCTAGTTTATGTAGATTGCAAACAGTATAGTGTAGAAGAATGAGCATGAGCATGGACTTTGGAATATATTAGATACAGTTTTAACAACACAGCAAATTGTATGACCTTGGATAAAATCTCTGATCTAAGTTTCATCAAATTAAGAAAGTAAGAAATATCTGTATCATAAGTTTTTAAGGAATGCATATTATGTGACACACAGTAAGTTACAAAAGAATTTTGTTCATTTTTGACTCCTAAAGAAGCTATTTAAAATTATAAGATATTGACTACGAGAACATTTACTATACTAAGAACTATTCTTGCCTCATTTTAAGTGCATTTTCAGATTGGGGTAAAAAACATTCCAGAATTTCTAGTTACTCGAAATATGTTGAATATAACTAGAAGTAAAGAGAAGGGGCTGTACACTGAAAATACTATGCCATAGCAATTTCTTTTTTATACAACATTGTCCATCTCTTCTGTAAATGTCAGATTCAATCCAGTCTAATTATGAGATTTATGAAATACTAACCTATCATTTGCTGTCATTTGTTTTATTATGCATTAGCCATAAAAATAATTTCCATTATCAGAAGATATAAGAATCTTATATTCCTAGGGCATTAACTATAACTTTTATATTTTCAGATTTTTCTGAGATTCTGTATCCTATCCAGTATGGGGATGGTAAATGATCAATGAGAGAGAACTACAACATTAAATTTGTTAACACTCTATCCAGAGCTTCTAATAAGTAGTAAGTCTAATAAAGACAATAAAAGATATACCTCGTCTTCAAGAGGCTTGTGAGGTTAATTAGAAAGAAGAAAACATTAGTAGATGAAAAGATGAAAGTTAAAAATATTTTAGCATGTTTGTAATTTGGGGTAATTTGGATATAGAGGAGGGGAGGATGGCAAAGTAAAAAGTCAAAGAGTAAGAATTCTTAATAACATTTATGAAGTTAATTTTGATAATTAAATAGATGATAAAACTATACTGAAAGGTAAGGATTGCATATTTTGTACATATCCTAATCCTATAAACAGCATTAAAAAATAAATGCTGCCTTCTTAAAGACTTAGCAACTTATTATTAAAAACCTATTTAGGAGATTATAGATATTACCAAGTAAATAAAATTAATATCCCTGAGTTTATTCTTCTAATATTATTTGTTGAGATCCTGATTTATTTCAGGACCCATCCTAGTCATGTATTTTATTTATTCCCTTACACATAGTAGAGAAGTATCTATTTTCAAGCTAGCAAAGAGAAGTCAGTTTGTTCATTTTACCTCTTAACAGTTAAAACGTGCCATATTTTCTGGCTTTAAATTTAGCTAAATATTTTATTGAGTCATTCATGATATTTACTAAATTTAAGATATAGAAGTGAACTTTACATACCTACTTAGAGCTTCATTTAAAAAGCATCGCCTTGCTGTTAGTTGTAATTGTAGAATTAAAAACAAGCACACAGTTTTATATTTCTAAGTCAAAACTTACAGCAATGCATCTCAGGTTGTATGTTTAGTCAGTGTTTTTCTGTTACTATTAATTACTGTCACTGATTTACAAACTGTCCACTGGTAAGGTATGGGTGAACTGGTTTCCAAAGAGCCTCGCCAGGTACAGAGAAGCCATATAAGGATCAAGATGGAGGCCATCAACTAATTCCCTTTCAGTCAAAGAATCTTTGATTTTATTTGGGGATGTGGGGAAGGAGGGTCTAACATGTAACCAGTTCGGAAAATTACTGCTTTGAAAGAAATATTTTGAGTTCACTTCCATATACAAATGTCAGTAGAATAAAGGTCTTCCTGATAAGAGCCCCTGTGTGGGAAAGTTGAGTCTGAAGTACACTGAGGCAGTTTGTTTCCTTGGTCAGTGACCCTCAGATTCTTTGCTAGAAATTGTGTCATCTATGGGCTCCACCTTTTAAGAAAAATATGGAAGAGTCGGAGAGAAGGCAAAGGACAAGATCAAAGACAATTACAGAGAATGGGACCTATGAGGTAACTAGAATTATTTCACTTGAAAAAGAGAAGTCAGAATGGCAGCTTTATTATGGTCTTCCAGACATTAGGAATTATTACACTGAAGTTAATAACCAGATTTCCTTCATGTGCAAACATAGTAAAAGAAATAGAGTGTCACCTTTAGCAAAGAGAATATAGTACAGAACCAAAAGAAAAAAAACAGCTATCAGATGTTAAACCTATTTAATCAAAGGAATAGATCATTCAGTACACTGTTTATGAAAGTTTTTAAAGGCTGAGAATATGAATTCCTATTTGTTTTAGGCATTAGCTGTAAGACTACCTGAAAGACCAGGGATGAATTAAATGAACTCTGTCTTTCAACCCTATGAATCAGTGATTTATCTTTACATTATATCATAAGGTGTAGATTTCCAACAATTGTTTTGAATTAGAGTCTTATTGCCTTATGCTGCCAAGAGAAGAGCTACTTTTTAATAATGTTAAGGAAGTTAGTGGTGAGGAGGCACATTTGTTCCAGGGGTCATGCACTCCACCACCTACAGGGGCCTATGAACATTAGGGAGAAGTGAAACTAATAGTGTGGAGCAATACAGAGTTATGGACATTGAGTATTAGAAAGTGTGTGATCCACTACTGACTCTGACTAATTGTTATTTTGGCACTGTGCCTGTAATGCCAGATCTATGACTTTCTTCAGCAAACTGGAACTCTAGAACTTTATATGAAATCTTTTGTTTTAACTTTGACATCAAGGCACTGTGCAGGGGAAACAATGTGCTTACACAGGCGAAAGGAGAAATTTTTGGCTTGTTCTTTAGATAATTAGTCAACCACCACAATACGTAACAAACAAATGAAATGACTGAACTTTAAAAGAATAGGAAAATTGATACTAAGGCTTTTTGAGTTGACTATAGCACCTTCCCCTTTAAATCCTTTGATCTTCCCTTCTTTCTTGCCTGTACCCAATATTGGGTGCTTTATTCACACAGGTGGTGGGAATTGAAAGGAATTATTTACCTTAGTAACATAATTTTATTTATTAAAACCCATCAAATAACACTGAAAACAACTTTTGCTGAAAATGCCACTAGTACTATTATTTTTTAAAGATACACAAAATGACATAGACATGTCACTTGGTTCTTTGAACTAACATTTGTTTATAACACTGGCTGCATGAGGCATGCTTTGTTAAAAGCCAACTTACATGTTGACCATTTGATAACATGTTTTATTTCTCTCGTCTGGAATATTTTCAAATAACCCATCTCTACCTGAAGAGGTGGAGTTGGAGGACAGCTGGATTTCTGAAATGCCATTGCTTTCAGACAGGAGAATATGCCACAGATGAAGAGGAGGATGAGGTAGGACCTGTTCTTCCTGGCAGTGACATTGCCATTGAAGTCTTCGAGCTGCCTGAGAACGAGGACATGTTTTCCCCCTCAGATCTGGATACAAGTAAACTCAGTCACAAATTCAAAGAGGTAAGCTGCCTATCTGCAAAATAGTTTTCTGTACCAGTCCATTCACATTAAATGTATAACTTTGTTTGGAATCTGTATTCAGAATAATCAATTTTTCAAAAGACAGGCTATTATTAACAGATTATCTTGATTCTCATTGAAATTCAAGGAAAAATTTAACTAGATCTCACTTCATACTCATTCATTTAAAATGCTTATTATTTCTCATAGGGACACTTTAAACTTGTCCATAATTTCAGGCTTTCAAGCTATAGCTTAGATGTTGAACTTTCACAAGTTCAGCCTGTTTTTTGGTTGTTTCTTTTTTCTTTTTTCTTTTTCTGTTTGTAGAAAATATTGGACTTGTTGATAGTCCTTCCTCTAAAGCAGTGGTTTCTAGAAAGGGTTTTGCTTATTTGTTTTCTAAAATAGGCAGGGTCCCAACAAGAATGATGACATTCTCAAGTGGTTTAACTGAAGAAAGTTTAATGAATGAACTTAGCAGCATTAATAGAACTACCAAGGGGAGGTGAAGCACACAGGGATCAACAACTGCAGAAACTGGTGTCATCTTTTGGCTTGATACGTATAAAGAGGGAATGGAATGATGATTTATTTTTCAGGGGATCGTTCAACATCTTCAGCTTTGTTAAGATGTAGAGACTGCTAAAAGTTATGTCTTAAAGACAAGGGTGATAAATACCCACACCCTGCTCTCCTTTTGATGCCTCCCTTTGGCAAACCCAAGCAAGGGTGTCTGGGAGCTGCAGCCTCTTGAGTCAGGAAATGTCAGAAAAGGACCAAGAGTGGATCTCGAGAGAGCAAATGCAGATTTTCACATAAATTCTTCTTCCAGATTAACTGCTCAGAAACTAACATGTACAACGGAAACAGTGATGAATGATCCCCAAGCAGTTTATTCTTCATTGTTTTGGGGAACATACTACGTCACTGAAGACAAGTTTGTCATTATTTACAATCTCCCCAAAATAACCCTGAAGTGCTGAGGCTTGAAAACCATTGTTTTATGGCTTCTACTCTGTTAAGAACTTGACCATTTGGGGAAAAAATAGTGTTTTCACATGGATGACAAGTTTGATAATTGCAGATATACAATTTTTAAGTTTCTTCATTTGTAATTTTTAATTTGAATGTGCCATTCATAAGTGAGCTTCATATGTTCTGACATTATGCCTGATATATTGACTTTCCTTTTTAATTCCTGTGTCACTTTTGTGAGAACAGTATCAGAGGGCATATAGTTCTCAAATGTAAATACTTATTTCTTTTAAGTATGTTTGTTTAGAGTCCTGGAAAATACAGTTTGGTATAAATGTAACAAAATCACTCATAAACCCACTGATGTGGTATTTTGGATTATACAAAATATACAGTGTTAATTTGGTATTCTTGATATATAAAGTTGTATTAGTAGGATTGTCCCATATCATCACCATAGTGACATTTATTCACTGTTTCATCTTACTTATATTTTTATAATTTATTTATTTATTTGTTTTGGGTCATTTTTTCCAAGAAGTTGGAAAAAAAAAAATTTAAGAAATACGGCAATAAACATTTGTCTGTTTATTCTTAGGTAATTTCTCATTGTAGAATTGTTAGTTGAAAGAATATTAGTATTTTGGAGACATTTGGAACTTATGCAATGATTTTTCCTAGTGATATAGAAATTTATTTATGTAATTCCCTGTGTTGAGAGTGCCCATTTCTCTTCCACCTTTTATTATCAGTCTGGTTGAATCATTTCCATTTATATAGTTCACTGAGTCCTTGAGGCAAAATACATGTTTTTCATAAAATGATTTATGACTTTTCCTAGTTCCAAATCGGATGCAAATGTCTCGATGACAGTGAAATACACTATTATCTAATGGTTACAAAATCCAGAATTCCATGACAGAGTAGCAGCACCTTCTTGGGGACATTAATGCTACCTTCAAAACAAGAGCAATGAGAAAAAGTTCTGTAGAAAGTGGCTGAGTGGAAAGAAATGCTGGGATTCAGGAACTTATGTCTCTGCAGTTCTAAATTGGTCCAGGAAGGTAATTTAACAGTAGTGAGCTACTTGCTCTTTAAGCTCTCTTCCATATATACTGTAACTTCCATTTCAACTTTGATGTAGTGAGGCTGTGATAGTATATAGCTTATAACTTAGTTCTTAACATGTTTCTAGGTGAGTAAGACCACTACTTTTTGGTAGATAATTGAGCTGGAAGCTTAAAAGCCTAAAAAACAGAAATAGTATATGAAAGCTATAGCTTCCACTTCCTGAATTGAGCCAGGGGCACAGTGCTTCATAAATATTGCTCAAAGTGAACACTATTATATTGACAATCACGTGATCTAAACCAGAGGTCAGCACGCTATGACCCTTTGTCTAAATCTGGCCCGCCCTTTTTTAAAATTATTATTTTTTATTTTTTTCTGTTTTATTCAGATAGTCATGGCCATCAATTTACTTATAGTCTGTGCCTGACTTCATGCTACACTGGCAACACTGAGTAAATATACAGAGACCTACAACCCCTGTATTTTACAGTCTGACCCTTTAAAGGAACACTTTGTCAACTTTAGTGCAGATAGCTATATGGTTTGAACCCACACTATATAACATGGGTGAGTTTTATTGTGAGTAACAATCAAATCTGAAGTTTTCTTTTAATTTTGGTTTTTAGAAATTAGAGATTGGTCCATACATCAGGGACACTTATTTTCTCTCCTCCCATGTTTTGTATTTAACATATAAATATTCACTTCCAGAGATTGGTACTCTCTGTACACTAGATAGCACAGCATTTTTATCCTGTGCACTGTCACTATTACAGTTTTTAATTTCTTGGTGTAATTAATATACATGCCTAAAAACTATAGCACTATTTTGTTTTGTTTTTGTTTTTGTTTTTGTAAGAGCTTGCAGGAAACCTGAGGTGGAGGGGGAGGATCATATTGTACTGGAATCTGTACAGAATCTTATACTATAGTGGGTTCTCTTAATTACATTATTTCAAGCTAAAGTATAAACTGTACAAACTTGGGCAAAGCACATTAGTCTGACATTTAGTCAGTCCTGCGTATCTCCTAAAAGACTCCAAGCTCCTCTATTTTTCTCACCATTGTATCCTCAGTGTATGTACAGGACTTGGTACATAGTGAGCAGTTAAATGTTGGGTGAATGAATGGTGTCCAACATATATTGGAACTTGTGGTACAATAAAAAATAGGTACCTAATTCAATTTTTTTCAAATAGTTCACTTATACTGAGTAGATATATTTTTGATAATTCTTGCATTCTAGTAAGTATCTGAAGGAGTGTGATATTTTACCTCTAAAACATGTTGCAGTGTTGTAAACTAGAAAAATACTGAAAAAATAAATAGGAATCTATAATAACTATATAATATATAATAAATAGGAATATGTATAGTATATATGTAATAAATAGGAATATATATATTATCATATATATTAAATAGGTATATATATACATAATAACTATATATATGAAAAAAACTATTGCTTTAGTTACATGTTGTGATTTTTTTATATTTAGAATATAGTTGTCATTCAGATGTAATTTCTCTTGGAACTTTCTATTCAGCACAAGAATTACCTAGTGGTATATTTTATTTTCCAGACATGTGGAACTTAATTTTGTACTACTTTTACTAGATTCTAATATTATCAAGCCTCGTCAGAAAACATATTCTGTATGATAGCTCCATAGAATTTTGGGACTTCTAATGCTCAATTCATAAACACTTTGTTTAAATATTCCTCATGTATGCAAAAAGCATACCCATTCTATGTTTGGGTATAAAATGTGTATATGTTTTCATTTATATAAATAAGAATAATGCTAAAGACATACATTTTTTCACTGTAGTATGGCTTAGAAATATTTTATTGACTTAACTGTCACAAGTAGGGTTTTTTCCTCTTATAATTCTATCAACTGTAGTTTTATTTGTTTTAAATTTTTGTTGTTAACTGCAGATATGTTCAGGATTGTTGGAGTTTCTTGATTTGCTGAAACATCTCTCATTTCTTATGATACATTTAACCTCAAATTCTGATTTGTCTAATAGCAAAAATTTAACACTGGTTTATTTTTGCTTAACACATCTATTTTTCCATCTCTTTGTTGTTAGTGATTTCCTATTATTTTGTTCAAATGTCTTTCCTTTAGTCAACATACTTCTAAATACTACTTTTATAAACCACCCCAGGGGAAATGTCAGTAAACAGGTGAGTTCAATCCATTCACATTTTCTGTAACCACACTACTATTAGACCTTACTGTCAACTTATTTCATATTTGACAATTTTTATGCCTTTCTCTTGCTTATTTTTTAAATTTTTTTATCTCCCTGCCATTAGATACATCTGATTTCCATCTGTTTCTCCAAAGGTACACATTTTTACTTCGTCATCCTCGAGATTACCACTGAGAGACTTTGACTTTCTGTGGTTATTGTATATTAACAATAGTAATAACAGATCAATAGCTGTGTCTTCACCACTTAATAGTAGCATAGCATCCTTTCATCTCCCTGATTTTCTCCTTTTTTATAAATTTCAGAAGTTCTAGTTAAATATATTTACAGGTATGCCTTATATGAAGTCATTAATTCAACGCACCTATGCTTCTTTCTCACTTTCATGAGATTTCAATGCTGCCCTTGACTCACCATTCTGGGGCTGCTACTGTAGTGCATGGTACCAGTGTTCAGTTCATAGTCAGAGTGTTCCAATTTCCGGGCAATGGAAGATGGGCCCTGACTGAACTCCAGATGCAGGCTTGCCCAGTTCACATGTAGAAGATTAAAGATTAATTAACTTTTCCTGGTTGCTGACACATACATCTGGAAACACCCATGTTCTGTCTTTTAAGAATTTCTCACAAGTTTTTTTTTTGCTTATTGATGAATGAGACTCTAAGCTACCTCTGTTCCTTTTTTATTTTTTGAAACACCGAAATGAATTCAGGAGAGTTAGGAAT